TCAATGCTTTATTAAAGCATTCAAACTTATAATTATAATTGAACTACCTTCCTTATATAACGATTTCCTTATATCCATGATTTTCATGAATTGAAATACCTTCCTTATATAATAAATATTATATGTCTTTAAAACTTTAAAAACAAAAGAAAAGGTATTCCTGTCATTTCCCCTCCTTTTTTATCCAAATTATTAAATTTGGGTTAGCCTCCCATGTCGTCAACCTGATTCAAATTAAATTTTAATAAAATATTTTATAAATTAATTTATTATTATTTAATATATTTTTTCAGAACTAGAATTTATTTTAATTATTAAAATATTTTTTAATTTAAAAAATAAAATTATTTAAATTAACTTGATAAGTTCATAACCAAGTCACTACAATATGTTACAACCATCCAAACTCCTATCATCCCAGAAGAGTCGAGGCATCATAAGAAGTAACAACAGCATTCAATGCGTTAGCCCTCTATGGTTAATTTGACATCATAAACCATACAACTCTTGCCATGGAGTGAGTTTAGGGCCTGCAGAATACGGCACTAAGCTGAAAATCATACATTTCACATAATGCCATCATGCCTTATAATAACCAGCGTTGTCAACAAGAAGAAGATGCCATGTTTTTTTGAAAAAAGTTGAGAACACAAAACTACATTTATCATGTTGTTGATCATGTTATTGAGTAAGAATTAGATGTAGAGTAAAAATTGGATAGGCTCAGTTTGGTTTTTAGTTTTATTCTGGTTTAGAGTTAATTTGTATATTTTATATAAGCCAGCTTTAAAAATCAAAATATTTCCCTTGTATAAATGATTTCTATGATTTAAAGTACCTTTCTTGTATATTAAATATAGTGTTTAAATCTTAATTGAATAAATTAAGTACTCCAATCATTTTCCTCCTTTTTTTTTCAAATTATCAAGTACCATTTAGTATTTATGCCTAATGTAATATAAATGTGGTCAACAGATTCCCTCCATCCCATCTTGGCATGCCCAGCATTTAGCGTTGCTAGATTTTTCATAAACAATATGGGAAAATCCTTGAGAAAATTACAGAAGAAAATAACAACCACTTGGCAAGTGATATATGGTAATATATGATTGGCATAATTCATAAACAAAGAAAATTCCAAGAATACAACAAGGTTTTAGAAGCAAATCACCATTGACAAAATGTCTCAGACTAGAGCCACTAAAATTTCAATAATTAATTCTATATTTATTTCAAAAAAAATTGAAAATATTTTTATTTTTTTTCTTGCTCTAAATTATTTTTTTTGTATTTTTAGATCATTTTAATGCGTTTATATCAAAATTAATTTTTTAAAATATATATATATATATATATATATTATTTTGATATCTTTTTTAATAAAAAATATTTTAAAAAATAATCATAACCATACTTATAAACATTCTATCCAAAAATATTGCTCATACTGAATTTTAAAAAAATAGTTTGAGATTTAATTTATTACCACACGTTTGATCTAATAAATTTACTCATAACCTGGTCAGATTTTAAGTTAAATATTTTTTAAAAAAATTAAAGTAATAATAATTTAAATTTTTAAAAAATAAAATTATATTATTTTAACTGATTTGAATTAATCTAAAGATCCTGTGCTATACTATGAACTTTCATTACTACTAATATTTAGAGAATGTCTTTTCCTCTAGTTGGACATGAATGAAAGATAATATTCATGTTACAATTATTAAATATTTTATAAAAAAAAACTATGAGATATAAAATACACGTAACTCAAGGAAAAAAAAAGAAAAAAAGCTATTTTGAGATGGTGAAGTGATGATCGAATGATGGACTCGGCCAGTATCTTGAGTGACCAGATTTGTCGCTGGTCTATTCGGCTCACGCGGCATGAAGGGGAGCACGCCACTCCGGCCTAGCCCAGACAACATGAAGACCACATGGCATGGAGGCCACACTGCTTGAGCCTGGCGGCGCGAAGCTGATTATTTTGTTTTTATGCACCATCAGATTGGATAGTGCCGCCGTGAAGAGTTCCTCCGTGACATTGCAATCCATCAGATCTGAATAAACTAGGTTCGCCATTTACTAAACAAAGAGACGGAGAGGACAAGCATTCTATTTTTATTTTTCTCCGAACACGTAGAGGGAATGGGGGAGAGAGAGATAGCGTAGGTGAATGTAAACTAAAATTTGATTTATTTTTCACTTATTAGGATGCGTACTTGCGTGTAGGGCTTTGGTTGCAACAAAGTTTTTAGATTAAGGATTAAATTGTACATACCACAAAATCCGAGGACCAACAATTTCCAAATAAGGACTAGAACGTCATAAAATAGAATATAAGAACTTGAAAAGATTGTTGAGGGATGAAAATGAACATCTTGCAAAACAAATTTTTAATCTTATCCTCTCACCCGCTGTCAATTTAAAACTGGGTTTGATTGTAAAAAAAAAACTTTGAATAATATTATTTTAATATTTTTTAAAAAATAAAACAATTTAGTTTTAATTGACTTAAACATTATTTGAATAAAAAACCATTTTAACAGCCAGGAAAGATAAAAACAGTGATCGTAGCCAGCGAATCTACTGCTGTAAATTTGAGAGTAACAGCGGTCTGCTTGGCTGATTTCAACAAGTAGAGAATTGATGTCAATTCAACCACAAATTTCACAAGCGCCATTTGTTATCTATGTTTTCGTTTTTCCACGCGGCCGCTGGTTATTAATACTAGCTGCTCGATCCATGCTATGTCATAGGTTAGGTATTGTTTTCTAGTAAAAAAATTATATATGTAAGATTTTTTCATTTGTTCTTCTAGGTAGTAAAATTATTAAGTGTGTGTATATATATATATATATAAATTGAGAACTGTGTAGGTTAGTTAAAAAAAAAAGTCATCAATGATAATTAAAAAGAAAATTCAAAAATTCAAAAAAAAATATAGATGAAGATATTTACCATGTTATGTTTATAAAATTTAAAAATATACGTATCATAAATGTTATGTAAAAAAATATTTGTATTCTATAAGATAAGTTTATCTATACAAGAGATTAATATATATATATATATATGTGTGTGTGCGCGCGCGCGCGCGCGCGAATGAATTGGAAAAATTTATAAAAAAATAAAAAAATCTATATTCAAAAAAGGGTAAATAAAAAAATAAAAAAAAATGCAAATGAACTATATCAATCAAAACATAAAATTATAAATTATTTTACAAAAAAAAAAGTATCAATAGAAAAAGGAAAAATAAAAAATAATATTCCGGGTATTGTAGCTTAACTTATCAAATATATGACTCGGATCATGAACTAAACTGGATAAAACAATTTTTAATCTTAAATTTACATCTAATATGTATATTAATATATATATATATATATATATATATATATATATATTAAAATACCAACATAGACATGCTGGCCATGGCTCCGCATGAGTGGGTGGGCCTTAATATCGAAGCTCGCACACCTAATCTTATTTTTATTTTTTTAATATTTTAAAGAGGTAAATGACTTGTCATCCGACCTTGTTTATCCTGGAAAAAATATATACAGACGGTATATCATCTATAAATTTAGATTCCGTCAATCACAATAGTAGCTAGAAAATTAGTATTTTTTTATTCATAAATCTAATTTTCAAATCATTTTAATCCAAAAACACTTTACTAACACCCTCTACCCACATATCAAACCATCAACTTAAAATACCCAAAAATAAGTCCAAAAACATTGAAATTGGACCGAGTTAGATTTATCTTTACCGACTTTAATGGCGAACATGGCTTGAACGACGACTTCTTTTTTATTGTTGAAATCTAGTGTCTCTTCTCTTTCTCTTCTTTCAAATCTTTAAAAAAATACAAATAAATTTTTATTTTAAAATTGATCTTGTTTAGATTTTAAGAGGCCTAAATTATATAATTTATGTTATTTTTAAAATTTAAAAACCTAAATATAATTTCTACGTAGTCTTTGACACGCTGTCCTATATTTGATACATTTTTAATTTTAATTTATATTATTTTAATATTATCATTATCTAGAAAATCCAAATCAATTCATGTTCAACTAAGATTAAGTTGCTAAAAATAAACTTTAATAACTAAAGTAAATTATCAAAAAATACACAGTATTTTTCGTAGTGTTTTGTGGATGTCGGCTTCGTAATATTCGGCCCATATATTTTTATATTTTTATTTAATATTTAATAAAACCAACCTGACATGACAAGTTGACGGAGTGCTCCTTTGATTCAGAATTTAGCTCAGATGGGATTTGCAGATCAATCCGGCTATTTGGGCCGCTCCTTTGATTCAGAATTTAGCTGAGATGGGATTTGCCTGGATTTGCAGATCAATCCGGCTATTTGGGCGAGACAAGGATAAATCAATCTTAATTTTTAAATGTATGTTAAAAAAAAATGTCGCTTTTGCTTTATTTAATTCTAAAAACCATTGTTTTAAAGTAAATTTAAATTGACCATCCAACTCGTGGATTAATTAATCTAACCGACCCACAATAACCATAGCAATTAGTGGTTAGACAAAATTAAGAAATTAGAACACCAATTTCGTTTATTTTTTATTTTTAACAAGCAGCTAGATTCTTAATTAAGAACATGCCATACATGAACAGCCTTTCGAGGTTTTTTCTCACAATTTTCCCATGAAAGAATTGAAGGGACGATAAAATTCAAAGCCGAAATTAATACAAGTCCCAGCAATGAATTAGTGGTGTCTTTTCACGTTTCACAGATAAGGTGTGACTAAGTTATCAACTATCCATGTATATTAGCTGTGAGGAGTAATTTGTAAACAATTAAACGATGAAAAAAGATGGAGGTCACCTTGATGTTACATGTCGAATGAATTTGATCATCAAAAATGGAGAAATCCACCTTTTCAATTGTTAATCTTCAATTCTATCGTGGGTGTTATTGCAAAAATAACTTCCCAGCGGGGATGAAACTGGAAGATCGAGAGAAAAAAAAAACAAAGTCATCTTTCATTCATGTTTTTTATACACTAGCATGGTCGAGATCTACAATTTCTAAGCTTCTAAAGCTAACATGGACGCTCCCACATATATGAACAACAGTACAAGATGCTACCCGGTTCTATCCAATCAGCAGAGATTAAATTAAATTAAAAGTAAATCTCTTTTCTCTCTATCCGCCACCGCGTCCGCCGCGCCGCCACCACTTGAGAATCTCAATTTTTCTCCCGGATTTAAAATGATCCTTTTCTCCCTGAGTGCTAAGGAAGAGCGAGACGGGAACACGTGGTGAACCGCGATTCCCCACACGCTTACATCTGTAGGAACCGTGCGAGCTGGGTAGGGTTGATAATATCTGGTATGTTGGGCCCACCTATCTTCAACAAACGTGATACCTCCACGTACCTCTCATAATTATCTTTATTCGGCTCGGACTCGGCTTTACGGGCCGGCTTGACGACCCCGGCTGAGTCCACTCCCGAGACAGGCACAGCCTCTGCTCGAGCCGGTTCCCAAGGTTGACCGAAGAGGGTACCCTTTGTAAGGTACTCGTGAGCTAAATAGCCGGCTAGGAGCTGGCTAGAGGAGGCCGAGTCCAAGCCTTTTTCGGAGCCGGCTTGGGGCGAAGACGGCTTGGTTAATTTTGTAGGTGTTGACGGTTTGAGAGCATCAGGGCCCTCTCTCTCTTTGCGCTTGCTTGGCGTCAAAACGCGACGTGGTGGAAGACGCATCGTTTTGGTATTCATGCCTGTCGTTTCGATGCATGCCACGTCAGCCACTCCCCAAAAGTAACTCCCCTTATCTGCGGTGAAAATAAAAAACCGTAGACAGTAAAAATGGTGTTGGGACCCACCAGGGTAAAAAAAAGTGAAAGGGGCGTGAAATAGGAGTGGGGAACAGGGAGGGCAGTTGCCAGAATCCCTGGCTTCTCTACGAGGCCAGCAATTTATGGCTTCGTACAGGGAGAGAAAAGAGAGAGTGGAGAAGAGAGAGAGAGAGAGAGAAGGATTGCAGAGGAGAGATTAGAGAATGAATAGGAGGTGGGGTTGGTCTATATTTATAGAGGATGTATTAGACGATTAGCCCTGGTTTTATATAAATATTACTGAACTGCCATCGGGATTCAAATTACATTATTATCCTCATTTTAAAGCCCTTGATTTAGTTATATTTCCATTTTAAGGTCGGGCATGCCAGCTTGTTGAGGTTTACCAAAAAGGACAATAAATTTTATCTTTTGCCAAATCCAATTCACACGACAATGAAAGTGATTAGTTGTTGAATTAGACACTAAATATGATTATAACTTTTCTTCGCAACTCTTACCAATAAAACACTTCCTCGTCAATGCTTAGGCTCCATTTTGTGCGGTCTCTATTTTCACTTGTGGGTTTTAGAGAAGGGTGAGATGTGGATTAAAAAATCTAATCCAATCATTAAAAAAAAAATAAATCAAACTAAATGGTTTCTCTTCCTATTTGCTTAACAATATTTCCCGACCTTTTAATTGTTTTTCAAATTTTTAGTTTTTTTAATTTTTTAAATTAATTTTGTTTATTTCATGTTAATTTGATTTGACTTGGTTTAGTTAAACCAGTATCTAAAATAAAAATATATTCTATTATTTTTTAAAAAAAGTTTTTTATTTAATTTTTTTATTTGATATATGATTTTGTTTGTTTCGTGTTGATTTGATTTCACTTGGTTTAGTTAGATCAGTATCTAAAATAAAAATATACTCTATTATTTAAAAAAAAAGATTTTTTATTTAATTTTTTTATTTGATATATTGGTTTGTTTTTTTAATAAATATTATATTGATTTTTTTTATTGTTGAATTAGTTGGTAATTTTGGTCAACCCTATTTTTAAGAGATGTATTGTAAGTGTCTTTTTACAGCATGTGATCTTTGAATACTTTTATGTTAGATTCGCGGTCTTGATTTTTTAACATCTTTAAAAATTATGTTTGAAATTCACAAAGCGTGTTTTAAATTGGTTTTCAAATGAAAAGGGCTTTTGGTGTGGTTGGAGCTGCTGGTTTGGCTGTAAAAAATTAATGATAATAATATATATTGTTATGATACTTTTGTGTTGAATTGTAAGTAAAAGCCTCAAACTTTAGTCTGTAATTTTATTTTTTATTTTTTTGCTTTTATTAGAATTTTATTTGAAAAAATGGATGGTGTTGAGATTTTACAAGGCTTTTTTTTTCATGATATTTCACCTGAAAAATCTTTAAAAAAAAGGCAAAATAACTTTCTAGAAGAATAGAAAAGGTAACTCTGGCAACGATTCCATATAAAAGTGGTGTTGCGACATTTATTCGCCAAATACAAACTTATCCGTGGATTTCAATAGAAATAAAATTGTATGTAAAGGTATTTTTATTATTTTCATCTAATTTTATTCTAAATATTACATTGAGTCAATATTTATGTATATAAATTGTTATTTATATCAAGAAATGACTAATATATATTGGGTACGTGCTAATAAATGGATGCTACCCGTGCTAGAAGCAATATAAATATGTCAAAACGATCTAGAAAAAACTTTAAGAAAAGGGTTTTTTTTTTTCTCTTTCCCTTTTCTTTTTCTAAAAATTTATGTTGCATTTTGAAAAAAAACAAAAAAACAAATTCTCATGTGATTATCAAACTTAAATTCTAAGTATTTAAACCGTACTTAAACTTTCAGGAATTTAGCATGCTTGACAAACTCAAATATCTGGCTTATTGGGTATATAAATTTTTGACCTGGTTATTTTTTATAAAAAAATAATAAATTATTTGTATATATTTTTTAAATAATTTTTTATTTATATTTTAATTGGATTATACTTATTTTCAAATGAAATCGAATGTATTTAGTTTTTATAAAGTTAGGCATAATTCACTTGTGGTTTTTTTAAGTTTTATATAGATTAGTTTCTTAAAATATTTATTTTTTACATAATTTTTAATAAGTGCATCCTTGTATTTTTTAAAATTATTATTCAATAAATTTTACATATATTCACAAATTTAACTTTCAGTAATTTATATTGTATGTAGATTTATAAATTGACCCGAAACATATATATACTGTTTACAATTCAAGTTGCTTCTTCATTGTTTTCTGCATTGTTAATGACGTCTAGCTGTATGGGTCAACACTATCATCCTTCAGTTAATGTCAGCTTCGATGCTCCCACTGAAAATTAAAAATGGAGAACTGAAGGGTTTCACACATTGTGTAGATGGACAGACCTTCATCCACACATTGAGTTACGGTAACGTTAACCACCAATAAAAAAAGGGTTTTGCTCATTATCATAGATGTAACAACCGAACCAGCATGGCAAATCTGGGATTTGAGCTGATTTAGGTTAAAAACAAATAAAAATTTAGCCAAGCAGGTATAAATTTTGGATTAATTTGTAAAGCCGTTAAAATTCATTTTTTATTATTTTGACTTGTTTTGTTGGTATCTTTTTATTAAAATAATATTATTTTAATTATTAAAAAACTCGAGGTTGATTTGTATCAATTATCATAATTCACAATTTAAATTTTATTATGAATCGACCTCAAATTAAATTTAATTACATCATGAATGAATTGATAAATTTTTTTTAGAGTTCCTTTATTATTTTTCTTTATTAAGTCTTCATACCTCATACTAACAAGAGAAAAAAAGATGAGAGCATTTCATTGTAATTCTTATAAAATATTATACATTGAAATAGTGTTTTTTTAATTATTATCTTCTTTTATTTTTTGATTTTATTATTTAATATTAAGCTTGTAGGATATTGAGTTTTGTAATTTTTTTAATTTATTTTTTATGAAATTATTATGGTTTCGTGACTTAAACCATGAATTTGATGGTTTAACTAGTTAGGAAGGCTCCAATTTATTTTTTTAATTGATTTTTTTTCAATTTCATCATTAAAAATTGGATTGATTGAGAATTAGATTTTATTATTTATTTTAACTTGCTTTTTATGAAGTTATATTTATGTCATGACCTGGACCACAAGCTTGCTTGATTAATCAAGGTTAACTTAAATCATTTTTTAATATATTTTTTTCATATTAAGGTGAAATAGAATTGAGCTTTATAATTTGTTTTTTATTGAGTTATCTCAATCTTGTGACGTTATTCGTAGGTTCAATAGGTCAGGTCGAGTTATTTTTTTATCTTTTTAATGGATTCTTTTTCAATTTTATCCTTTAATATTGAGTTTATTGAAAACTAAACTTTGTAATTTATTTTTATTTTTTTATTATAGAGTTATCAAGATCTTATAACTTGATATGCAAAGTGACATGTCAACTAAAGTTGATCCAAATTGATCTAATGTTTTGTTCTCTCAATATTTATAAAAAAATATATGTCTTGAATATTTATTTTTAATTATATTATGTTTTTATTCATCATCAAAGTTATTCTTACACTTATCAAGTTGATTGAGTTATATTAAATTACTCGTCATCAAAGTTATTATTACACTTATCAAGTTGATTGAGTTGTATTAAATCAATTCTTATATAATTTTTAAAAATATTTATATTATAAAAAATATAAATATCATTTAAATATTTTTATATATTAAAAAAATTCATCTGACTCGTAATGCAAACTGAGTCAATTATCCAGTGATGTTTATGACGTGTTCCGTTCATCAAAATCGACAAAATCTAATTGATAAATGGTTAAGATATACTTTATGCAGAACATTCAGACATTTAATAAAGAAAAATATTATACTGGGATTCTAAGCTGATTTTTTTTTTTTAAAAAAAAAAAGAAGGAGAAAACATTGTTCGATACACTTCATTGCGGACAAGAATGATATATTTGATTGCCTTTAAAAAAACAACATCATAGATGTTGAAAGGTAGAATAGTTTTTTGTATTAGAACAATTTTGATGTTTTAAAGGTAGAGTATTTTGATGTTTTGTATTTTTCATTTTAATTAGGCATTAAATTTACATAACATATCTATCATTGTGATAAAAATAAAAAATAAAAACTAACTGACGGTGGAGGGTGTTCCCGTTATTTTAATTTCTGTTGCACAGTAAAGAGATCTTGATGTCAAATACTCTAACCCCTGGGCTAAAGGGTATTGTTTTGTTGCTATTTTTTTGTATTTAATAAATAGGGGTGGGGTTATTTAACTATTTTAATAAATTAAAAATAAATTTAAAAAAATATATTGATACGTGCTATACAAATATCAGTCACTCTGCTATCTTAGAATAGTACGTGCTACTAATTCAAAAGATCAAATTTATCATTTTGCGGTTGCTTTCAATTCATCTCAGTATATTTTCTCACTTTTTACATTTATCCTACAAGCTTTAAAAAATTAACTCAATTGTTAAGTTATTATCTAGAATTTTACGAATTATAAATTTTAAAAATTAACTTAGCTTTAGGGTTTTATTCAAGGTTTTTATTTTAAAATTTTTAAAGCTAATGTTTTTTTTTGTTTTATCCTTGAGTATTTATTTAATTGAAAACTAGAGTTCATCTTTCTCCAACTTTTCTATGTCCTTTGTTTTATTATTTATTTTTTTATTTAATTGTGTTATCTTGGTTTTTTTTATCTATTTCCTTTTTAAAGTTTGTTTATTACAAATAAATCTTATTTTTTAGTTAAATAAAATTGATTAATTAAATATAATTTGATAACAACTCCTTTTTATTTTTTTATATGACTATTCCAACTGCCCCTGCAACTTCTTCTACTGCTGTCATATATTATTTTACAGTAGAGTCTGGATTGTTTCAATAAGGTCATGTGCTTTTTTACTATCATTGTATGTGATTTTAATCAAATTATTATTTTACTTAATTTTATTGGGTTTAATAAAATTAATAACTCGGATATCAGGTTTTTTTTAAGAAAAATATTACTATTACCTAAATATTAATGTTAGATATTAAAAAGATTTAATAGATGCAGAGCGTAGCACGGGTCACAGGTCTATTACTTCTTTAATGCCTTGCTAGGTTGTTAAAATTAACTATTTGTTTTTTA